CAACATTCAGTGCACAGCACAAACTCCCACATCCAACAAGAGCTCCCCACCTTCTTCCTGGGAAACATTTTGGCCAAAGGAAGAGGAAAAAATGAAGGGAAAAGAGAAGGGGGCACCTGGAGTTGAACCAGGGACCTCTTGATCTGCAGTCAAATGCTCTCCCACTGAGCTATACCCCCCTTGGTGCAGGATGTGAAAAGGTAGATATAAAAACACTTATTTGGAAAGAAACAAGTTTTTCCGTCTGTGGGTTGGATTCCTTTTCTTGTCAGCTCCCTTTGTGTGCCTGCCAAAGGGAGTTAAATACCATAAATTATGATAAATGTGATCACTGCAGAAAATTAAGAAAAGAAAAAGGCCCAGACAGTGAGAAGTTGCTCACACAGGGCACAACCCCTGGAGTTTCCCCATAGTCAGAGCCACGATACCTTTGAAGCTGAAGCTCAGAACCAACGTTGAGTGCACAGAACAAACTCCCAGATCCACCAAGAGCTCCCCAACTTCCTCCTGGGAAAGATTTTGGCCAAAGGAAGAAGAAAATTAAGAGGAAAAAGAAATAAAAAAAAAGAGAGGGGGCACCTGGAGTTGAACCAGGGACCTCTTGATCTGCAGTCAAATGCTCTACCACTGAGCTATACCCCCTGCTTCCAGGCAGTGTTCCCAGCAGGAATCTGCCTGCTAATTGCCATCCCAGCAAAACTGCTAATTAATCCCAGGGCAGAAAAGCAGGTTCTCAAAGAAATACTCATCCCTCTCCTTGGGAACACTGAGCAGAGGCTCCTCTGCTCTGCTGGGGGTCACCTGCAGCCAGCAACCAGCACGAGAGTTCTGGAGGGGGGAAACGTGGGGATGGAGAGCTCCAAACCAAATTCTGGGGGACGAAAAGAAGGGGGAAAAAAGAAAAAGGGGAGGGGGCACCCGGATTTGAACCGGGGACCTCTTGATCTGCAGTCAAATGCTCTGCCCCTGAGCTATACCCCCATGAGGGTGGCAGGGCCAGGGAGGCTCCTTGTGGGCACTGATGAGGTGGCACAGCCACAT